CCCTCTTAAGTAACTCTAAGCAAACTAGTCTCCACAATTCGTTGTCGAGCTTCTAAATTTTGTCGATGCAATGTATCTAATTATCTTCAGGATTGGATGTACTACCTTAATGCGGGGTCTCAAATAAACATATCATATGCCATGCATTCTCCTAATACCTCTCTTTTCCTTATAATTGCCCAAGGTATGTCCAGAAGTTGACATTGCAGGCTCTTCATTTTTCACTAATATATTCTGTCTACCATTTTATACTTGTTTTTACGTTAATAAGATCGGTATCCCTTGACATCATCACTCACGACTCATGAGGTTATTGTAATTTATAATTGCTACATGATATTTTTTTTGGCCTTGAGACCTCCACTATTAGTGACAGTTTATAGGTTGAAATGCTATTTCTGAGACAATAAAGGTAAAACTGAAGCATGTGTGCGAAGAAGGTTAGAGCATCTCCAGTAGAATGCCAAAATTACCAATGCAAAATTTTAGCTTCTGTTTTTTATGCTAATTTTGGCTAATGCTATACTCGGCAGCAAATTTGCCAACAAGTATAGCAAATACAAAATTTGGCATTTAATTACCATGGGTTGATATATTAATTCTTTGTGTTTAATCATTATGTTAGGAACCCGAAAATCTGAACTTCATTAACAATATTAAAAATGGAAAATTACAAGATAAATGAGCGGTTTCGAAGACCCCCGACCTCCAAGATAGTGCTATGCACTAGACACTCTCTACAAATCTGATCATCCCCCCTCATTAGCCACTAGACCCTTATTTATACTATTAAAAGACTACTAAAAAATAACTGCTAACTATCAAGTTCCTAACATTACCCCCGCCCTAAAGAATCACCTTGTCCTCAAGGTAAAAATCAAGAAATAAAATTGAAAAATAACATCTAAATGATTAAGAACAAGAGGCTTTGTTAGTTCCTTGATTTGAGTCCCCAAATTGATGTTGTCCTTGTAAGTCACGTCTTCAAATTAGAGCCAATCAATTACTTTCTTCTCCATCTTCTTTGTATCTTGAAAAGTAATCACAAAGTCCACCAATTCAGTTGGAGCCCACTGATCAAGCTTATCAATGACCATAAAAGCTTTTGACAAATCCATCATTAACAAATAAGTTTCTTTCTCAGCTAACCAGGTCTTCATCCTTTCAGCCTCTCTGTCACCAATATCTTCATACCCAGCCATAGACTTACTATACCCAGTCCTAAATGTGTTGAAATTTTGAGACCCAACCACCATTGCACCAGAATTAGGCCAATTAACGCTGTAATTACGAGGCCCAACCCCAAAATTGACTCTGCCCATACCAAAAACACTAGACCCAGCCCACTTCCGAATAAAATTTCAGGATTCAGCCCAAAATCGCCGGATTTCGCATCATAAATCCACGTCCTGGCCATCATCTCGCCGGAGCTAAACAAAACCCAGCCTTAAGGGTGTTGGAATTCATGGGTCCCACTCCATAGCACCGGAACCAACCCCTTTAACGCCGAAATTGCGAGGCCCGGTCCAAACCGGGTCGAAATCAGCCCCAACCTTGCCGGAAACAACCTCAACAGCGTCAGAATCATGAGACCCGCTAATTTGGCCAGAATTTTCGAAAACAACACATATCTTACCGGGATCAGCGAGTCAGAATTGCGGGACTCCACTACAATCCCGCCGGAATCTGCCACCGTAGCACCGGAATCAACCCCTCTCACGCCGGAATCGTGAGGCTCTGTCCAAACCGCAGCCAAATCGTCGAGCCCAGCCTACCAAAATTCCCAGATCTAGCCTCAATCTTACTGGATCTTGAAATATCAGCGCCAATCTTGAAATATCAGCGCCAATTGCGTCGGTGTTCTTAGATTTCGTCGCAAATCCACCGCCGTTCGCCTCAGATCTGGTCGATCTAGCACTAGATCGTGAAAAATTGCTCTCAAGTCTTTCACATCATCCTACGATTCAGGTTCTGGTAGCATTCCCTCTGGCGACGTTTGTTGACGTTGTTGCTCCACATCCTGTCGCGCTGGCTCACCTCCAAACAGCAAAGCCCTAAGTTTTTCTCTCAACTCAAATAGTGAAACCTTAGGTTCTGAACTCACGGGCTCACCTCCAAAAACCTTGAGATTAGCTCTTAGAACAACCCTAAGTTTCTCTCTCAACTCAAAGAGTTCCATAGATCGTAGATGCTCTGATACTATTGTTAGGAACCCGAAAATCTGAGCTTCATTAACAATACTAAAAATGGAAATTTACAGGATAAATTGGCAATTTCGAGGACCCCCGACCTCCAAGATAGTGCACAGCACTAGACACTTTCTACAAATCTGATCATCCTCCCTCATTAGCCACTAGACCCTTATTTATACTATTAAAAGACTACTAAAAAATAACTGCTAACTATCAAGTTCCTAACACATTACAACATTGTTCTTTTTAATTATAACATTAAAAGTTTATTTTTACAAGTTTCAAAAATCAAAGCTTAATAATTATGAAAAAAAAGTAAATATAACATTTGAATTAGCATTATGCATTGGAACACAAAATAAAATAGCACATCAAATATGCAATTTTTACATTTTTAGTGACAAATACAGCATTGGAGATGCTTTTATGATGGAACTGTTTTTTGGATCCTTTTCCCACCACTTTTTTCTTGTTAACCCGCTTTATTTATTTATTTATTCAATTAAATAATTGCAGTTGTTTCTGCTTGTTATGATCTGTTCTGAAATGGCATGTTGCAGGGAGTGATGGCCTGGCTCAATGGCTTGACAACTCATCATATCCTAATACCACTTTATCATGGAATGTCATTTGTAGTGAGTTTGAAACTTTGAAATTGTATATTCAAAATGAAATCTTATTGTTGCTGTTGTTTTTTTTTTTTTTCTCTTTTTTTTCTTTTACTGATATGTGCTATCATTTTCTCGTAGGAAGTGGTGTGATTAGGCAGGATATAGTAACGTCCTCTAGTTACTATGTTGCCGTGGGTAACCTGAACTCAGAGGATGTGGAGGTGATTTTTTAAAATTGTAGCCTTTCCTACTTTGTTTCATACATCTTTTTTTTTCCTTAAATAGAACTCTTGTTTTGTCCAATTTGTTAATTAAATAAACCCCTAAATAATATGTCTCCAAAATAACAATTATGAGAAGTATACGCACCTTATATCTCTGGTCTAAAAAAAACACTTTGTGGCTCTTTCATTTGGAAATCTAAAGAGACTCCGCCCTCTGGTAAGTCCCCTATTAAGTTGCTAAGGATTTTGAGTTGACTAAATATAATTCATCTAGCTAGCTCAGTGTGATCAGTTCTGCACGATCATGCAGATTATGATATTAAAGGACCTCTACGATCATGTGAGGTTAACAACAGCCGACAGACATAATCGTGATGAGTGTCACAAAAGGAAAGGTGTCACGCCCTGGGCAGGGGTGGTGACATAGAGGCTTGATTAGGATTAAACGCACGATAATAAAAGAAATACCCAACGAGTCCCACACACTGAATTAAAATGAATTATAGGATCTTTCCACAGGATCTCGTTACCGTACATACGTGACATGTAAATAAATCACTACAGTTACAGACATCATTCACAGTCTAAAATCCAAGTACAGGAGTTTACAGAATTTATAAAATTCTTACATTTGTACTCACAGGAAGATGACACAATCTTCTCCAAAATCAGGTGGTAGCACTCAGCTACTCCGCACTGCTCCTAGAGTTTCCAAGGAGGGGTTAACATTTTTAAAACTATAACACGTGAGCGAAAGGCCCAGTAGAATATATTTTGAAACAACTTGGTAAATAAATAAACAAGTAAATAAATGAATCAGTAAATGAATAAATATAGACATTCAGTTCTAACACAACAGCCGGAACCTTATATCTTTTTTCTCAAAGGAAATGTAACTGAAAATTACAGTATTACAGGCATCAGCAAGTAATTTGTACAAATTACTTACACAACCAAGTGCACAAGCCTTTCCGGGCCGGGTTTCGGGTTCTGTCCCCGAGGATGCACTCTCCACATCCTATCTAGGCCATCAGCGGGCTTACCGGTTCGTAAGATCTCTTTCATTAAGAAATCATTCATTAAACATTATGAAATTGTTATTATAATCCCATGAACTATAACAGGCCGTGGGTCTCCATGAACTACAACAAGCCGTGGGTCTCCATGAACTACAACAAGCCACGATTTTTTTAAATATTTTTCTTTCGCAAACAAGTCCCTTTCTTTAAAACATTTGCAAGGCCAAAACTCTTTTTGAAAATCAGGCTCACAAGAAAAAAGGGATAGAAATCCTACCTCGAAATTATCAAACCTGTGGCTAGCGGCGCACTATCCCAGCTTCCACTTCCTCAAGCCACTCAATCCGAGTCCTCAACTATCACTGTTACAAGACAATACCTTAGGATTCAAATCTCATTCCTAAAGTAATTCAAACTCAATCACATCATTTGATTTCCTATTAGTGTGTCATAATCAATTTTATGTTTCAAATAATCATTCCAAGGGTTTTAATTCCAAAACATGGATTAAAGATGCTAATCCATTGACTCTAGGTCCCAAAATGAAGCTAATTTAGTTTCTCCTCGAAAATAGAGGTCAAAACAGCAATCTCAGGGCAAACAGGGTCAAACTCCGTGTACACCGGTCGACCGATGACAGAGCAGTGCAACACCACCGGTCGACCGGTGGTGTGTAATCCGGTCAACCGCATCGGTCGACCAGTAGCCTAATGTATTCCGGTCGACCGCACAGGTCGACCTGTGAAGAACACCAGTGCGAGAAAACTCGCGAAAATCAGTTCGAAAACCTGCAAATTCAGTTCCAAATCACAATATCTCAAGGGACAACACCTGAATCCGGGTTCTAGGTGCTAAAACAAGTCCAAATAACCCAAAATTCCTAATTTTCACCATAGTTTTACTCAAAATCCATCAAAAATTCATTTCGAACCAAAAATAAGTTTTTAATCTGAGAATTTAGGATTTCAAGGGAGGTTTTTCAGAAATCTTACCTTGAATCTTTCTATTGACGTTGAAAACTCTTTGAAATTCCTCTTTGGTTCGAGATCCGGTTGATTTTGAAACAAAACGGGAGAGACAACCGAGAGAGTGAGAGAACGAAGAGAAAGACAGAGAGTGGTCTGTGGGCACGGGAGGAAGGCAGAAGGAGAAAAAAAAAAGAAAAGAACAGAAAAAGAAAAATAGAAAAGAAAAATAGGTCTCCAAATATTTTAAAATGACTATCCAGAAAATGTGTCCATACACACTTCTGGGTAAAAATATAATTACTGAAAATATTTAAATACCTTGTAATTATTTAAATTACACGTCAGAAACATTTATTAATCAAAAATTAATTAATTAAATCAGATTAGGTACACTAATAAATCTTAATTACCTCAATTAATCCCATTTAATTCTTCGGGGTGTTACAACTCTACCCCTCTTAAAGAATTTCGTCCTCGAAATTAGAACTCACCTCACAGTAGGAACAGATCGGGTACCGTTCTTGCATCATCGTCTCAAGCTCTCATGTCGCTTACTCAACTCCATGGTGCTGCCACAACACTTTCACTAACGGAATCTCACGATGACGCAGACTCTTCATCTTCCAGTCAATAATCTAAACCGGTGCCTGCTCATATGTCGCGTCATACTGTATTGGAATGTCATACCATTGCACTATAGCTTCCGGATCAGGTTGATATTTTCGAAGCATGGAGACATGGAACACGTCATGTACGCGAGATAACTCAAGCGGCAGGGCAAGACGATACGCCACGACATCGACTCGTTGCACGATTGGGAATGGTCCAATATACTTTGGCGCAAGCTTCCCTTTCACACCAAATCGAACAACTCACTTGCGTGGGGAAACCTTCAGGAGAACGAAGTTGCCTTTCTGGAATTCCAAAGGCCTACGCCTTCTTTCAGCATAACTCTTTTGACGACTTTGAGCTGTTAGCAGTCGTTCCCGAATCACAACTATCTTCTCATTGTTCTCTTGGACAACCTCTGGTCCAGTAGTGAGTTGATTCTCAAGTTCCAACCAACAGACAGGTGATCTACACGGACGACCATACAAAGCCTCGAACGGTGCCATACCGATACTGGCCTGATAGCTGTTGTTGTAGGCGAACTCAGCAAGGTGCAGGTATTTCTTCTAGTTCCCGTCAAAATCCAGAATACAAGCACGAAGCATATTCTCCAGAATCTGAATAACTCTTTTAGATTGTCCATCAGTCGGAGAATGAAATGCTGTGCTAAAGTTCAATTCTGTTCCCATGGCTTCCTGAAAACTCTTCCAATACCTTGCATTAAAACGCGTGTCACGATCGGACGTGATCGACAGCGGTACTCCGTGAAGTCTCACGATATGCTCCAGGTACAATTTAGCCAGAATCTTCTGAGAATACATCGCACAGAACGGTATGAAATGCGCATATTTAGTCAACCTGTCCACCACCACCCAGATGGCATCGTGCCTGTGCTCAGTTCTCAGTAGTCCCATAAAAAAATCTATCGTGATGTGCTTCCATTTCTATCCCGGAACAGGTAGAGACTGCAACTCTCCAGCTGTCTTCTGATGTTCAGCTTTAATCCTGAGGCAAGTTACACATTCTAAGACATACTCACAAACGTCATTCTTCATGCCTCTCCACCAGTATTGCCTTTTCAAGTCCTGGTACATCTTGGTACATCCCGGATGAATAGCATACCTAGATTTGTAAGCCTCATGCAGAATTACCTTCTTAATCTCATCCATTTTAGGAACTGCTAGGCGGTCGCGAAAGTACAGCGTCCCATCCTCTCGGATTCTCCAATCCAAGCTGCTCTCCATTTTGGATTCGAACCCAGATTCCTTGGAGATGAGAATCTTGCCACTGATTTTGCTTGACTTATTGCACAAGGGCCGGTGCGGAGATCAGATTATACACCATTGCCTGGTGATAATCCTCGTGATACTAGAGGTCATAATCGCTCACAACCTCAGTCCTCTTCCAGTCTTTCAGAGCTAATGACGCTTAAGTCCCCAAGGTCTTCCTGCTAAGGGCACCAGCTACCACATTAGTTTTTCCCGGATGATACTGTAGCGTGAAGTCGTAATCTTCCATGTACTCTACCCACCTCCTATGTCTGAGGTTCAGATCTTTCTGAGTAAACAAGTACTTCAGACTCTTATGATCAGAAAAGACCTGAAACCTTACTCCATAAAGATAACATCTCCATATCTTCAGAGCAAATATCACCGCTGCTAACTCCAAGTCATGCGTGGGGTAGCTCCGCTCATGCGGTCTCAGTTGGCGAGATGTGTAAGCTACAACGCGTCCACCTTGCAACAAGACACAACCAAGTCCAACCCCCGAGGCGTTAGAGTACACCTCATATGGCTCCTTGGTATTAGGAATAGTCAGGACTGGTGTACTTGTCAGCCTTGCCTTCAATTCCTGAAAAACATGTTCGCACTCAGCGTCCCATTCGAATCTGACTTCTTTCTTGGTCAACCGAGTCATTGGTGCAGCGATACTCGAGAAGTCCTTTACAAAGCGTCGATAATACCCCCGAGTCCAAGAAAGATTCGGATCTCTGCCACATTCTTCGGCCTCTCCCACTGTAGCACAGTCTCAATCTTGGAAGGGTCTACAGAAATTCCTTGTCCTGATATCACATGACCAAGAAACTTCACTTCTGTCAGCCAAAGTCACACTTCTCCTTCTTCGCATACAGCTGGTGTTCATGAAGAGTCTGAAGAACAATCCTCAAATGCTGTTCATGTTCTTCCCAAGTCTTCGAATACACTAGGATGTCATCAATGAAAATGATCACGAACCGATCCAAGTACGGCCGGAAAACACGGTTCATTAAATCCATGAATGCAGCCGGGGCATTCGTCAACCCAAATGGCATTACCAGAAACTCAAAATGTCCATACCGAGTTCTAAAAGCTGTTTTCGGAATGTCTTCCTCCTTAATCTTCAGTTGATGGTACTCAGACCTCAAGTCAATCTTAGAGTAATACTGTGATCCACTCAACTGGTCGAATAACTCATCGATCCTCAGTATTGGGTATTTATTCTTCACAGTTACCATATTCAATTGACGATAGTCAATGCACAACCGGAGGGATCCGTCGTGCTTCTTCACAAACAACACCGGTGCACCCCAAGGAGAAGTACTATTCCTGATGTACCCTTTTTCCGCTAGCTCCTTGAGCTGTTTTCTTAGTTCTCTCATTTCAGCAGGTGCCATCCAGTAGGGAGGAATAGAAATAGGTGCCGTTCTCGGAACCAAATCGATGCAGAATTCAATTTCTCGGTCTGGCGGTAAACCAGGTAGCTCTTCAGGGAATACATCCGCAAACTCATCCACTGCAGGTATTCCCGCATTGTCTTCAATCACCTCGGTTTCACCTTCTAGAGCAAGAAGGAAAGAAAAGCAGGCTAGGTTTCTCCGTCCTCCGACGCTGTATTTCAACAGTCGTTCCTCTAGGACTGGATTCATATATGCCTGATAAATGATCGTTACTCCGGAATCAGTCATCAAAGTCAATCTCCTACGGTAGCAATCAACAATCGCACCATATCTCGCTAACCAATCCATTCTGAGTACCACGTCAAACAGACTCATCGGAAGGATTACCAGGTCAGCTCTCAATCGCTCACCTACAATCGTGATTTCACACGATCAGCACACACTAGCTACCTCTACATATCCCAGTGGGGAGTTCAACATCATTGGGACTTCCAAGTTCTCGGCTTTCAATTTTAAAGTTTGAACAAAAGAACTTGAAATAAAAGAATGAGTAGCACCAGTATCAAATAGTACATGTGCTAGAGAATGAGATATTAGAATCATACCTTCAACCACTGTGTTACTGGCCTGGCCTCCAGAACTGCCTCCTGTCAGGGTATAAGCTTGTCCATGCACTTTCTCCTTCCCTTTATCACCAACATTAGGCCTTTGGGTCGGTGGCCTATACTGTTGCGGCGGAGGTATCTGTATTGGTCCCGATGCCTAAGGCCGAAACTGTGGGTACTGAGGCGGTCGGTAGGCTGGCACATGAGGGTAAAATGTTGGCATTTGCAGCTACGGCTGGTAAGGTGGCATGAACTGCGGTGGCCTCTCTTGACCATAAGAAACATCACCCTGGGGCTGTTGAGTCTGCAGCTGATTCTGATTAGGACAGTTCCTCCTAATATGACTAATCTGCCCACAGTGATGGCACTTTGGTCGGTAAGGAGAATTTCTGTCACTCTCAGATGAACTACTACCACCACTGATCATGTCTCCACTGACCTGCCCTTGATTACGGTTTCTTCTACCGCTCCGTTGTGGCCCACCCGAAGTAGAGGGTCCACCCGAAGCAGAAACTCGACCAACTGCTTCCTTGCTTTGCTGATAGGCCAAGTTATCTTGTTCCACGCTTGTAGTAGTATCCACCAGGCATCGAAAATTTCAGATCCTTAGAGGCACTAAGGGTCTCCTTACATTAGGTTTCAGACATTTTTCAAACTTCAGGCATTTCAAATGCTCAGATTCCACCAGAGATGGCGCAAAGCGAGACAAGTCATTAAACTTAGCCTCATATTCCCTTATCGACATATCACCATGTTGCAAGGTCATAAACTCCAATGCCTTCTAATCCCTGTAGCTCTAAGGGAAATATTGTTTATTGAAGAGAGTTTCAAACTGCTCCCAAGTCATTTCCGCAACATTAAGCCTTCTTCTCACTTGCTTCCACCAGTTGCTTGCTTGGCCTTCCATTTTGTATACAGCGAATTCTATCCGGTATTCTTCCGGCACTCCCATAGTATCTAAGTGTTTAACTATGAAGTCTAACTAGAACTCCGCTTCTTAAGGTCCTCCCTCACTATTGAACGTGGGGATAGGTGCACGCCTGAATTCCCGGAAGTAACTCTGCTTCCTGTCCTCGGCTGGTCGCTCATTCTGAGCTCGAGTGGTCATGCCTTGAAAAGTTGCATACATGGCATCCATGAACTCCTGGTTCTGTGGAGCTGGGTTGTTAACCGACCTACGTCGCGGCGGCATCTCCTTTATCTGAAAAGAAACTAGACTGTTCAGTGGATTTCTGATGTCACACATGTATGTACAATCCTGTGGATTTTCAACTTAGGGCTCTGATACCACTCTGTCACGCCCCGGGGCAGGGGTGGTGACATGGAGGCTCGATTAGGGTTAAACGCACGATAATAAAGGAAATACCCAACGAGCCCCACACACTGAATTAAATGAATTACAGGATCTCGTTACCGTACATACATGACATGTATATAAATCATTACAGTTACAGATATCATTCACAGTCTAGAAATCCAATTACAGGAGTTTACAGAATTTACAAAATTCTTACATTTGTACTCACAAGAGGATGACACAATCATCTCCAAAATCAGGTGGTAGCACTCAGCTACTCCACACTGCTCCTAGAGTCTCCTGGGAGGGGTTAACATTTTTAAAACAATAAAACGTGGGTGAAAGGCCCAGTAGGATATATTTTGAAATAACTTGGTAAATAAATAAACAAGTAAATAAATGAATCAGTAAATGAATAAATATAGACATTCAGTTCCAACACAACAGCCGGAACCTCATATCATTTTTCTCAAAGGAAATGTAACTGAAAATTACCGTATTACAGGCATCAGCAAGTAATTTGTACAAATTACTTACACAACCAAGTGCACAAGCCTTCCCGGGCCGGGTTTCGGGTTCTGCCCCCGAGGATGCACTCTCCACATCCTATCTAGGCCATCAGCGGGTTTACCGGTTCGCAAGATCTCTTTCATTAAGAAATCATTCATTAAACATTATGAAATCGTTATTATAATCTCACGAACTACAACAAGCCGTGGGTCCCCATGAACTATAACAAGCCATGGGTTCCGTGAACTACAACAAGCCACGGTTTTTTAAAATATTTTTCTTTCGCAAACAAGCCCCTTTCTTTAAAACATTTGCAAGGCCAAAATTCTTTTTAAAAATCAAGCTCACAAGGAAAAGGGGATAAAAATCCTACCTCAAAATTATCAAACATGTGGCTAGCGGCGCACTATCCCAGCTTCCGCTTCCTCAAGCCACTCAATCCGAGTCCTCGGCTATCACTGTTACAAGACAATACTTGAGGATTCAAATCTTATTCCTAAAGTAATTCAGACTCAATCATATCCTTTGATTTCCTATTAGTGTGTCATAATCAATTTCATGTTTCAAATAATCATTCCAAGGGTTTTAATTCCAAAACATGGATTAAAGATGCTAATCCATTGACTCTAGGTCCCCAAATGAAGCTAATTTGGGTTATCCTCGAAAACAGATGTCAAAACAGCAATTTCATGGCAAACAGGGTCAAACCCCGTGTACACCGGTCGACCGGTGACAGAGCAGTGCAACACCACCGGTCGACCGGTGGTGTGTAACCGGTCGACCGCATCAGTCGACCGGTAGCCTAATGTATTCTGGTCGACCGGTCCAGTCGACCGCACGGGTCGATCTGTGAAGAACACCAGTGCGAGAAAACTCGCGGAAATCAGTTCGAAAACCTGCAAATTCAGTTCCAAATCACAATATCTCAAGGGACAACACCTGAATCCAGGTTTTAGGTACTAAAATAAGTCCAAAGAACCCAAGATCCCCAATTTTCACCATAGTTTTACTCAAAATCCATCAAAATTCATTTCGAAACAAAAATAAGTTGTTAATCCGAGAATTTAGGATTTCAAGAGAGATTTTTCAGAAATCTTACCTTGAATCCTTCTCTTAACGTTGAAAACTCTTTGAAATTCCTTTTTGGTTCGAGATCCGGTTGATTTTGAAGCAAAACGGGAGAGACAACCGAGAGAGTGAGAGAACGAAGAGAGGGAGAGAGAGAGATGCAACTGGATTGAAACTGAAATTTGCATAGAGGTGGAAAAATTATCATCCGTTGAGATGGTATATGATTGATAAAGCACATACAATTAATAATGTCATTACCAATCTCAGTTTTTTATCAGATTTCGTAAAATCCATTTTTCATGTGTCATTCGCCATTTTATCTTCTTGCCCAATGCTTCTTCCACTTGATCATTTATGCTATCTATATCTAAATTTAATAGGTGCAATTACACCTGAGGATAAGGGCTTCCCTCTACAATACAAGTGAAGCTTATTACAGATGCAATCTCACTCAAGGAGCTTGTGGCATAGAAATTTTGTTCCCCGAGGGAAATGCAGCTGTCTTAACCTCTTTTGGTGATGAGGTAACAAAATACTTTCTTGCCAGCTATTCACAGTTGCCAGCTATGTTGTTTGATAACATGCTCTACATTGAGTAAAGAGAGAACCCCAAAAAAAAAAAAACGGATGAAATTAAATGCCAGTTATCTAATTTTTGACATCTGGTTCGTCAGTTACGTCTCTCAAAGTAGAGGGCAGCGTTTTGTGGTCTAAATAGTCTAATTAGTGTCATGCCGGAAAACTTGTATCTAGCATGTTCATATGCCTTAGGCTTCGATTTTTTTTTTTAATAGACATGGAGTAATATAACTTTTTAGTTCTTGCCTTCCAGCGGCAGTCAATATTTTTGGGCTTTTGATTTCTTCAGGCTGCTACTGGCTATGGGTTGTATGTCAAACTCTCCTATGGACCAAGATTGGTCACATATATTATTGGTATAGGTATGTTCATTAAAAAAAAAAAAAAAAAATCTTAACGTGACCTTTATATAAAAACCTTATTCTGTACTTTTCTTTCTTGTAGGTGGTTTGAGTCTGCTCATGCTATTCGCCTTTAACTTCTTGAACAAGTTCCAATGTGCCCGCAATGAAACAGGAGGTCATCATGAACAGAGAAGATCTGAGAGAGCACCATTGCTTTCTAACAAAGATGATCTTTCAAGTTGGGGGTCGTCTTATGATTCCGCTTCCAATGATGAGGAGGATCTTGAAAACTTCCTGGCTGTGGGTTCTCTTGAGGGGAAGTCTTTGGGAGAGGGAGAAAACAGTAATAACACTCGACGCCTTTGTGCGATATGCTTTGATGCTCCCAGGGACTGCTTTTTCCTTCCATGTGGACACTGTGTGGCTTGTTTTGCATGTGGAACCAGGTACCACTTTCCAACTTTAAATTTTCAGATTTCAAAAGTACGCAGTACACTTCAGTACTTAAACACAATTTAATCCACAAACTAGCATGAGAGTTGATCAGGCCTCTGTTAATCTTGAAGATTGTGCTATTCCTAGTTGGATAAGCTTGTTAGATAATATGTCTTATTTAGGCAAGGCCTGCAACATAATATGCTGGGTTATTGAAGAAAAATTTACAAAGAAGAAATTTAGCACCTTTAACTTTTCACGAACGAATATTCTAAATTTAATGCCATAAATCTGAACCGTTCCGAACCAAGGATAGAAACGAATCCTAACTTGACTAGGGGCATATGTCTGGTTACCTCTGCAACATTGTCCACCTCAATGTGTTTTTCACATCATGTGTTACAAAATTTACTCTTTCATCAATCTTGTTGAAAGACCTTGGTACTGACCATTCCTATTTCTGCCACGTAATTTCCTTTGGTTCAATTGGTAATAGATTCCTTTAAAGCAATTCAACAATGTGATGATAACAGTGATTGCAACTAGCAGGAGTTAGAACTTAGAATCATTTCAATAGACAAGCAAAAACTTCTGAGTATTTACATTGTGTAAATTTCCAATTGACAACTCAATTTCTCAGTGCAGAGTCGTATGCTAGTCATTTTTTAGAGCCAAAAGACAACGTGTCCAGTAAGTTTTTTTCTTTGCCAGGATATATTATTTATAACCAATTACTTTAATTTGTTGTCTACAGGATAGCAGAGGCAGATGGCACTTGCCCAATATGTCGTAGGAAAATGAAGAAGGTGAGGAGGATTTTTACAGTCTAAAAGCTACTCGGCTTATTTTAAAAAGATGGCAAATGTTGAATAACCTGAGATACAGATGTATGTAAACTATTGCTTTCCTTACAAGTAATGGCATCGGTGAAGCAAATTTTAGTTGAGCTGATGAGATACATTAAGCAGATCACAAAGTACAATGGCTTAGTTTGGTAGTGCTGTAGATTTTAAAAAAAAATACTTTTAATTGTACTAAAAGAAAAAAGTAGCTGTTACAAAAAGTAACTAAGTGTTTGGTAAATTATAATTATAGTAGATGTGTTGGTTCTAATTTTTAAAATTAATGTAATAGCGTTTGATAAATTATGAGGTTAAATTATTTTGGATAATTAAAAATTACGACTATATTATATTATAATATAATATAATATATATTTATTATTATATTTAATAT